TGTGTTTATCTCATGCATTTATTCCATCCATTGGGCATATCCATAGATGGTCAGGAAGGTGACTTACCATTACATCCATCGACCAATGGAAGTCACATCTCTCCACTTAAATGCTTCTAACTGAATTAGATTGTGATTAACGTGGTGGTATATAACTGGCCAAGGTAAAGAGGATAAGTGATTGGGGAGTGCTCAGACTTAAAGCAACATATATAACTCAATCCCCACCCAGTTCTCAGGGGTCATTGTGGAAGCTGTGCCAGGAAGAGTGTAAAAGGCAGAGGTATGATCCCTTCCCCCAGATCTAATCCCCTGCAGCTCAGACCTAGTTCTGCAGCAGATCGCCAGCTGAAGCCACCCTTTGCCCTGCCCATTTCTCCTCTATGGATATAATGGTAAGTTATTTTGAGTCAGTTTAAATCTATGTCCACTTAGCAGCATAATATTCTTTCCTAAGGCCAATGACCTGCGTATTAGGTTCTTAGTCTGGTAATGGTGCCAGGAATGCATTTGATCCTGTGAAGGACTTAGATACAGTCAGGAAGTGGTACTTACTCCCATAGTATTTGTGCTACTATTGCACCAGTGGGATGGTCTTGTCATGGCAATCTTTACTGTAGCTTGAAGTGTCTGTCGTTGGGCATGACTGGTGATTACTTGTCTCCTCTAGTAGCTTGCATAGACCCTTTCCACCACCATGAAAGCAAGTCAGTAGGGATAAAGATTCTGCTTCTTTACCACTTTAATTTTGCCATGACCTTGACTCAAACATATAGTGTCTTCAGCAGTAGGATCTTATCATCAAGTTCTTGATAGCCAATAGCAATACAATGCAATGTTTGGTATCTAATTAGCAAGACCTCCAAAAGAAGCAACTTATACGTGGCATAGATTTATTTGTTACCCTCTGGTGTCCGGTAGGGACATTATTGCTCGGTTTCAGAGTTACTCCATTTTAATTCTCTTTCTCCTCTCTCTACATTTCTTTTCCTATGTATCATGTTTGTATCTTTCTATGTGAGTGTGTGTTAGTGATGTTAAACCAAATTTCCATGTCTTTTTCAAAGGTCTTCTGTTTTATTTATCTCTTTCCCTTCTCCTTCCTGTCCCCTACTTCCACTCCCCCATCCCAGGTTAATCCTCCTTGGTCCATTGTTCCCCATATATCTGTGCATTCTGTCTCCCCTCTTTTCATAGCCATCCCCATGGCATTTTAGTAATTTCATGAACCGTGTTGGTATTACAATTGAAACACATATATGAAAATTTAACACCAACCTTCACAATGACAGAGAATATGTAATATTTATCTTTATTGTTCTGGGTTGCCTGAAAATAACTTTTTCCAGCTCCTTCTGTTTAGTTGTGAATTTCATAGTTTCATTTTTCTCAATATCTCTGAGTAGCCTTACCCAGTATGACTCTAACAATTTTTATTCATCAGTTGGTGCAAATCTACGTTGTTTCCATTTCCTGTCTATTGTAGATATAATCATAATAAATATGAATAAGCAAATGTCTCTAGAACAGGATATGAACTCCATGTTGTGTATGTGTACATGTATGTGTATGTACATGTGTATATACACACAACACACATAAATTATATATACATATATATGCAATATATATATATATGAGTGATACTGCTGGTTCATATGGTAGGTACTTCTAGAGTCAGCTCCATGCTGATTTTTAAAATGGTTTCACCAGTTTGCATATCCTCAAGTACTAAAATGGAGTTCCATTTTCTGCAAATCAGTGCCAACACTTGTCATTTTTTGTTTATTTATCTTAGACCTTTTTCATTGGGATGAGATGAAATCAGAGAGAAGATATAATGTACAATTCCCTAATAGCTAAGCATGTTTAACATTTTAAGTATCTGTCAGCCATTTGTATTTTTTGAGATTTCTCCATTTAACTCTATGTCCCATGATTAATATTTAAAGTATAAATACATTACAACTCCCTTCCTTTTCCTCTCTCTTCAATCACTTCATGCCTCCCAATGATTCTGCATCAAATTAGTTTTCTTTCATCTTTTGTTATTATTATTGCATATTTTTATACATCTATGCACATAAATATTTAAATATAAGTTACTGAGTCCATTTGGAGTTTCTTGTATTTGTGTGATTTCAGGGCAGACCACTTAGAGCCTTCATCTGGTGATAGATAGCCAACTAGGAAGCTCATCCCTGGGAAAACATAAATTCTCCCTCTCAACATTCATTAGTTTTCTGTAGTACTTTGTCTAGGGCTGAGGTCTCATTAGATCGCACACACACACACACACACACAGACACACAAACCTATATTAGAATGTCTATTGGCCAGGAAGTTGGGAATTGAGAGTAATACAGACAATGGAGATTGAGATGATAGGATTTCAGTTGGAAATAGATTCATGAAAAATTAACCTAGAGGTCCCCTGAGTGGTATTTTGGTCCAATTTTTTTCTTATTTTTCCCATGCCCAGAGAAATTGAGTAAGGCCAAATTAAAAATTTATGGGTGTATTTTTTATGGCATATTGGATCTGCTGGATGCCTACTAATGATAGTAACAAGTGGGGCCTAAATAAATGAATATGAAAAGGTAGGTCCAATGGCAGTCAAGCACTGAAACAGAGGCAGGGATTTTCAAAGAGATTTTCACCATTAAAGAGAAGGCCATTGCTCTACATTGGGAGCCTAGCAAGATGCCCTAAGTGTAAGACTCCATTCTATTAAGTCTGCAGTTAATGGAGGGATTAGGCAAAGTGATTCCTAGTCCCAAGAAGCAGTTTCATACAAAACCTGCTACAAGCTGTGGTCCAAGCTTGCTTGGCAGGGTCCATCCCAATTTAGAAACCAAACTTGCGCTGGTTCTGGAAAAAAGAATAAAAAAATTTAGGTCATGGATTCTTGGTCTCTGGGTTCAGTTCAGCCCTGTTGCAGACATCTATGTTCGGCAGAGTCGGAGCCCCAGTGCAGAGCATACAACAGTTCATTGCATAGAGCTGTGAGGATGATGCCTGGGTTGCCCTTTCAGATGACAAGATGTTGAGATACCTAAGTAATGAGACATCTGCCATGCAGAGCTGCACATAGGGAGTGAAAGTAACCAAAGAGAGAGGTGTATGAAAAGCTGCAGGGAAAATGTGACGTCAAGGGCCTTTGAAACTGAAGCCCCATGTATCTGAGACAGAGCTTCCAGATTTGGTGTTTGCCCTGCCAGGTTTCAGTCTTGCCATAGTACAGTCTTCCTCACTATGTCCCCATTTCTCTTTTGGAATGGGAAAGGGTATTCTGTGCCAGTGTGTGCTGGGAAGATGTAACTTGTTTTTCTGATTTCACAAAATGTCACAGTCAAGAAATTGTCTTGAGTGTCAGAAGAGACTTTGGGCATTTGAACAGTGTAAGAAGTTAAAGACTATGGGCATTGACGTTGAACGCATTTCATCATGGGTTGACTATATGCCTGTAGTGACCTGGGTCAGAATCTAGTTAACTGAATGAAAAACCTAGAGATAGTATAATGTGTTTGAACACTGGTCTCTCCTTGGTGGCTTTCTTTGGGGTACTTGTGGAATCTTTAGTAGGAGGAGCCTTTCTGGATAAAATTCCTCACTGGGGATGGGATTTGAGTGTCTACATCCTTAATCAATTTCCTGTTCTTTGTGTCCTGCCGTCATGACTTCACCACCACTATAGATGGTATCACTAAAGCACATAAGATACAGTTGAAATACTTGCTTATTCAAAGCCATTTTGCAGACCTGACTTTTTTTTTCTTTTTGTTTTGAGGACAAACTTTCACTGTGTAGCCCTGGCTGTCCCGAAAACCAGACTGACTGGCCTCACCTCAGAGATCCCAATGATTCTGAATCATACATGCTGGGATTAAACACCCTTTATGCCTGGGTGTTTTTTTTTTCTTTTTTGTTTTTATATTAGTGGCCCATGAATCTGGAAGATAGGTTTTTATACATGTCAAGCATATGCTGTTGTGCTGAGTTTCACCAACATCTTGAATTTTGAAATTTGACAGAGGGTCTTATTCTGTTTCCCAGGATGTTGTGAATACTGCCTGAGTCCGCTGAGTCGCTTGATTGCACATTCTTTTTTACCTATTGTGTTTGTTTTGAATTCTTTTGAACAAATATGGTCTTTTGTCTGTTTGCATGGGTATGCACCACATGTGGTGAGGAGATGGCCTCAAAGTGCCTGAGTGTGGGGTAATGGATGCTGTGAGCCCTATGTGAGTACTGGTTGTTGAGCTCACCTATCTGCAAGACCAGCAAGACTCTTAGCTGCTGAGCCCATTCTCCTGTCTTGTGTTGTTTATGATCAACATTTACATTGCTGATGTGTTCATTTGTGCATTTGTAACTGTTTAAACATTCACTCCCTTTTAGTAACACTATTGATACACTTTAAACTGGGACACTTCAGTTTTCTGGAACTGGAATAAATGATATAAGTCTTCATAGGAACTTTAGTAAATATCTCTGAGTTCTTTCTACCATTTTTTAAATTGATTTTTATGGGGGAGACAGGGTCTTACTAGTATGTAACTCTCTCTGTCCTGGAACTCACTGTATAGGCCAGGCTGGCATCCAACTCAATTAAATTCACCTGCCTCTGCGTCCTGAAAGCTGAGATAAAAATCTTGAGCAACAGCATCCAGCTTGGCTATCTTTTTTTCTAGTTAGTAAGTTTTCATACTATTTCTCTGAAATGTACTCAGTACCTTTGATCTGATTGCTTGCATCTCTATTTATGTCTATTAATTCACATTTCTTTTCCAAGGCTATATTCTAGTCAAAGTGAAGAAATGACAGATGTGAACCTTAATATTTGGTTTCTTTCTAAAATTACTTAGTGATTACATTAGAAATTCTGTATCATGGAATAAGTGTGGGGAGCACCAGAATTATATATTATCAAGGAAGTGTACATGCACAATATTGTCACTATCATGCTTTCTGTTCTACACATGCATGGGATATTTTAGAATGCAGTGACCTATGATGATGTGCATGTTAACTTCACTGGGGAAGAATGGGCTTTGCTGGATCCTTTACAGAAGAATCTCTACAAAGATGTGATGCTGGAAACATACAGGAACCTCACTGCTATAGGTAAGACTAAATTTTCCTTCATGTTTTAAAATAAGGGGACAACTCTTTCTTGGCTATTGATAATCTTCTGTAATTTTGGTTGAGAAAGAGGAAGAATGAGGTGAATATGTCAGACATGATTCTAAGGTTCTCTGAAGATAACAACTTAAATATTACACAATTTCTAATAATATATCATACATTTTCTGATACTATATTTTAGGCTACAGTTGGGAAGACCATATTATTGAAGAACATTGTCAAAGTTCTAGAAGACATAAAAGGTAATTTTCATGTGAAAGGTAATACAAATGTGCCTATGAAGAAAATGTAATGTGTCCTGGAAGTTTTAAAGAAAAGCAACAGTGTAAATAAGCATAGCTTAAGTTGTATTGATGATTATTAAATTCCCCCCCCCAAAAAAGTCCATATACCTCAATGTCAGGTAGCCAAAATGTGTTTGAAAGGCAATTATCTAAGAAAGAAGACAAAGAAACAATGCCTTAAATGATACCACCATTTGAATCATAGCCCTATGAGAGCCATATTGTGAAACTGCCAATCCATTTAGATTTTGTACCACTCAGATATTACAAAACGTAAGAATGTTGAATAGATGATAAGTGTTTATTCAAAGCCTGCTAATAAGCAAAAGGTACATAGTAAAGCTAGTGTTACTCATATACTTCTTATAACTGCTCAGCTTAGTGAGAGGGGTAGTTTATGAGAATCAAGAGGTTGTTGTGGAGAAACTTTAATACCTATACCACATGTCTATGAAGAATCAAAAGTTAAATTTTGTGAATGCAATGTGGAAATCCTTTATTTGTTATTCTTAGTTTACTAAGGATTTCACATGTCACTCTTAATTCAAGCCATGTAAATATAGGAATATGGAAAGAATCAACTTAACTCTCTCTTTCTCTCAAACAATTAGAAGATATGTAGTAATTCCCACTTTGAATAGACTTGTAGAATGTGATACAAGTTTACAATTAATTGGTTTTCCAACTTTATTGGGAATACATCAATTAACTCAAACCAGAAGAAAGCCCTATGAATATTGGAATATGTAAATACTTTGTTTGTCCTGATTCACTTTGCAAATGTAGTATTATAACACAAAAATTCTAGTTGGTCTTAATGATAAAAGCCCAGAGACAGATACAGGATTGAATGCTGAAGATCAGAGAAGCAGAAAGGTCAGCCACTAGAGAGTTCTTTTACCTCTACCAGTGCTCAGACTGCATCTCCAGACTCCATCTGTCTCCACCAAACCTCAGACTGTACTGTCTCCACCATACCTCAAATCACATTGAGTTCCTGTCTCCTGCTTTATAGTCCTATCTCCACCAAGCCATATCACTCCTGTCTTTACCTCCCAAGTGCTGGTATTAAAGGTTTGGGATCCCAAGTGCTGGGATCACCTTTGTGTGAGCTCTGTTTCTCTTTTAGACAAATTCAATCTCATGTAGCCCAGGGTGGCCTTATACTAACAGAGACCGCCTCTGCCTCTGTCTTCCAAGTCCTGGGATTAAAGGTGTGTGCCACCACTCTCTGGCCTCTAGTAGCTTACCTCTGATCTTTAGGCAAGCATTATTTGTTAACCATAAATAAAATATCATTACATATTATGACTCACACTTTTGGAATACTTGTGAGTGCAAAAGCGAGGTAAAGTTCTAAATTTCTCCAGTTCAAGTTAAATATGTGAAAAACGTCATTTAGAAAAAAAGGATGCTATAAGAGATGTTACATTTACCCTTTTTGGTCTAAAATAAGGAAAGAAATAAAATATAAGAAAAACTGTATTTAATAAACACATAACTATACAATATATACAGACAATAAATACATCAACAATGTCTAATCCATTTGCAATTGAAAAATTTCGAGAAAATACTACATATCTATCCTATCTTCTTGAGTCCAAAGTGTTGTACATAATTCACTTTCTATTCTTACGTGCATTACCATGCAAAACTATCTTTGGATATCTCTTGCACTTCTTTAGTGAATTTCTTTTCTGAGTCAGGCAAACAAGAAAAACTATAACTGTAACTATTTAGTATTCAATTCCCTCAGAGACCCAGAAGGAAATATTAACTGAGTAAGCAGGCAGTGTGATCAAGTGACTTCCAAAAAAATCTGAGAAATGACAAAAGCAATTGGCTACCTGGACAGTCATCCAAGGTTCCTCAGCAATGCTGGGGCATCCATCTTTGGCCCACAGGCCTAGAATATTCAACAAACTTTTCTATGAAGCAGAATTTTTGAAGGACTATCCCTCCTTGACTTGGCAAAGTTTTGTAGTCATTCTCTTTTGTATCCTGCTTGTCCAATTAGGACAGCATACCATCAGCAATCAAGGAAAAAGCACTTTTTTACCCACTGGCTTACTTTTGCCACAAAGAAAGTAAACTCTGTGTAGAGTTTCATTGATGCCCCTTATCTTCTCTGAAGTAGATTGATGCTACAAGGACATGTGACATGGCTCATTGTCACAAAAAAGAGCCTATGTTATTAAAGCTTCTTAAATGCCATATTCTGTAGACCTCTGAAGTACTTGAAGATGACCTGTCATTTTAAAATATATCTGTTTGATCTTGAAAACATACCTAATATGACTTCAAGTTCAATTGGAATAGATGACTAATTGCTAACTTGCATTTCCTTAATATCTTAAATAGTTGGTAATAATAATTTCAAGAACTAGAAATTTGCATTTCATTGTTAAATGAGCTGTGCAGGTACAATACATTGAACAAGAGTAGAAATGTATGTCCAGTATGTTCTAACACAATTAGTCTCAAATTTGTATCAATATACAAAATTTTTATACAATATACAAAAGTCCAAACCAGTGTGGAATATTTAAATCTAATAGTTGCTTTTTAAATGTAGATTCAATATTCTACATTTCTATCTTATCTATATTCCTCCCTTTCTTATTTTCAAAGTAGATTCAATAATCTAACCTTTTATCCTATTATATCTGCATCCCCCTTTTTTTCTTTTCGAAACAAGAGTCTTGAATCTAATCTCCTTTGTTTAGTTTTTTCTCCTGACCATTATAACCAATTGCCTTAAACAATGACAAAGAACCATAACCTATAGTATAATTTAAAACCACCAACTCCACCTCTTGGAAATGTGGACATGTTCTTAATTTACTTACTGATGTCTGGGGGCAACAGCATCTTTAGGAGATCCTGAAAAAGAAAAATTTGTGTTAATTGTCAAGTCCTGGGAGAGGTAGCTGTATCATTTGTTGTCTAGTCTCTGTGTAATGGGAAAGTGCAGAACTTATCTCAAGTCCTGGCTTGAGTAGACTATGAGGCTGGTTCATCTCAGCTAGCTACCTTGAAATTGCTCTGAGTCATTTGTAGTGCAAAGCCAATCTTTAGATGTTTTTCAGCTTGGTGGTATTATCATAGTCCTGATGGAATCATCCTTGTGGGGCCCATCCTGCTTTTGGAGACTTCAAAGGTCACTGTTAGGTATGGTCATGGATCACTGTAGAAAACTATAGACTGAAACCTGAAATCATGTGCAGGAAGGTAGATGAAGGCTTTTTCTAGAATTAGTTGGTACTCTATATTAATATCATGACAAAAACTTTAAAATACATATATATTAATCTTACAAATTTTGAGATAATGTTTATGCCATAAGAAAATCTGTTAATGAGTTAATATAAAAACCAAAGGATTATAAGATTAGTGGAAATAAGATAGTCCTTAATTTTTTTTTCTTCTGTCCCTTATCAGGTAGCTCTTCTGACATGAGACAGAGATTTTTGGATATTACTTTAACATGCATGCTTGGGTTTAGAGAAGGAGAGAGCCACACCCCAACTGCAAAGCCAATTTTAATCTTTAATTGAACTGGGAGTACAAAAATACCATTTGCATTATATGTCTGTAGAGAACAGCAGAAACAAACATTTTGGAAGATTTATGAAAATTCTATCTGGTTGGAAATATGATATACCAATAAGCCAACTTACTCTTTTTCTTGGGAATTTTTTTTCTGGATATTTTCCTGTTTCTTCAGATGTCTCATTTGTCCAGTGTTCTTCGGATTCCTTAAATGTCTTAAATACTCTTGAAAAAACAGAAACAAAGCCCTTTCCCAACACTATTTTTTTAACTATGGAAAAATTTTATATCCAAGTTCTTCAAAGATTATTATAAACACAAACTTTTTTTCTAAAAGTTTTCCAAATTAAATCAAAGGCACATCACTCCAATAAAATACTTGTGACATAATTCTTTTAGGTTATAATATTTTTACATTTTTTAAACAATTGCAGTGTTCTGAATATAGTTCACATTTTAAACATTTTAAAAGACATAAGCACGTTTTAAGAGCTACAAACACAATCATAAATTTTGAACTAAAGGAACTAAAGAAAGATCTAATCAACCTCACCCAGGATGGAGATTACATCAATCTTTTCAGTTGGCGAAGGAATCTGCCAAGTTTACTGTCAAAGTAAGTAAGACCTTATCTCATTAAGAAATGAAAATGTTCTCCTTTCTGCTATCAATTATTTCCCCAGTTTTATACTTTGTCTTCATTTAGTAATTATAATTCTTAAGAACAATTTTTACTAGAGTATAAAATATTAGGAAGATTACAAATACTTAGTTTTTGAAAATAAAGTATTTCCCTCCTAAAATGCAAATACCCAGTAAGTAAAACATGCCCATACCCTAGACAGAACAACAAAAGAGATGCAGTTTAGTAAATGTGGTGGTAAGGTTTAAAAAAAAATGATTTCTGTAGACTCTAGGACCATGCAACAGAGAAAGTGATTTGGCTGTTGAAACTGCTTTCTTGGGACCTGGTTGCAGTCCAGCAAACTTCTTCCTGGAGGTCTTCACAATAAAGCACAGGATCTGGGTTCCCAGAAGGGATTGCTTCCAACTGGAATGCCAAGCTGCAGGACATCCTTGCAGGCATTCTGCATGTAGTACTGCTGAAGCTCTGTGGCTGCCTGTGAGAGACCTGATCCTTTTGGTGCCAGCCTCCAGCTTGAGCTCCTCCACCAGGCACTGCAGGGCACTTTCACTGGCCCTGGAAGACATGGAAGCTACCAACCCTAATTTTTGGAACATTCCCTTTTGGCAAGTTATATCTGATCAAATGAAAAGCATTTGTTAGTTTTATAGGTTAGTTAAGATTAAATGGACATGCTACTTGATGAGCTATCATTTCTTCTAATTAAGAAATCTCTCTTATTCAAATACAATCTTTATCAATTTTGATGGTATCCATA